CGCCCGCACTCCCAAGCAACGGAACGTTTTACCGTTGCCAGCACTCGCGAACTCGCTGGCAACAGTGGCCTCCACGTGCCCCCCGAGGACACGCCGTCCACTCGCGCAGGGCGCACGCGCGCGCGCGCACACACACGCGCTTCTTGTCCATCACAGGCCCGCGGATATGTCACGCGGCTCTGGGCGCGCAAACGTCGATGTATGTTGAGGAAGCTCCCCAGCCCCATGAGATGTGGCCATCCAAGATCTCTCAGGGATTCTTCTCTGGATAAATCCAAGAATTATGTAATAATTCCAAGAATTATACAGAGAATCGCCCTCGGGGATAAGCCCCGCCCCCAACCCCCCAGTGCCTTGCATTTCACCCCCATCTCTGTCTCCTCTGCTAACCTCCTCCCTTCCACTCTTCCCTGCTCCCTGCTCCTCCCAGTCAGCCTTCTTAGGTGCTAGAGGGTTTCCCAAGGCTCAGGGAGTGGGCATCTCCTGACCCACCTCTGCCCTCCCCCACTCAGGGGACCCCTCTGGGGCAGCCTCAGGCTGTGTTTTCCCGCTCACAGTGGCTGGGGTTTTCTTCTGTCTTTAGTGATGACAGGTCAAGGGCCCTTCCCCCACCAAACAGGGGTTGAGGTGTGTGCCCTCACCTGGGTATCGCTGGTGTTCCCGGTCAGCCCTTGGGACTCAGTGTGCCGGAAACACCCAAGGCTTCACCAGACTGGGAGAGGCGGCTGATTGGAAGAGCCGCTTAGCAGATGTGGAGGCTGAGAGACTCCCAGGCTACCAGCCCTTACACCTGCTCACACACCCTTTCCCTTTGCTTCTGGTCAGGAGCAACTGAGCCTCTGTGTGTGTGTGTGTGTGTGTGTGTGTGTGTGTGTGTGTATGTGTGTGATATCCCCTCCCAACACACACACACACCTGCACTCACATCCTTCCCTATGTTTCTGGCCGGGGCAACTGAGTCTGTGTGTGTGTGTGTGTGTGTGTGTGTGTGTGAGAGAGAGAGAGAGAGAGAGAGAGAGAGAGAGAGAGAGAGAGAAAGAGAGAGAGAGAGAGAGAGAGAGGGAGAGAGATCCCCTTCCCAACACACACACATGCACACACACACACACACACACACCTGCACTCACACCCTTCCCTATGCTTCTGACCAGGGACAACTGAGCCTCTGTGTGTGTGTGTGTATGTGTGTGTGTGTGTGTGTGTGTGGTAGGCAGATCATTTCCCACGCAGCCCCTGCCTTCCCCAAGTACGATGGTGGGGGTCGGAAATACCCAGGTACTGTCCCTGGGCAGCCCAGCCCCAAGCTTTGCTCTCAGGGGCCCTGTGTGAGCCTGGGCTGCTGCCATCTACAAGTGGAACTGGGCTCCTTGGGCGCCTTCCCGGGGCCCTTCTACCCCACAAGTCCCTCCAGCATGAAGGAGACCTGAGTCAGGCGCGGGGACCTCAGGCCAGTGGCGGGGGTGGAAATGGGTCCTCGTCCTCTCTGGCTGAGGGGCAATAGAGACCGGCATATTCTCAGCGACATGTCCCAGGCCTGGCCTCATGGGGGCGGAAGAGCAGAAAGGATTTTTCTCTTTCCCAGAGCCTTCCCTGTCCAGTGTGTGTGTGTGTGTGTGTGTGTGTGTGTGTGTGTGTGTGTGTGTGCATTTATATGGTTCCTACTTTTTTTTTTTTGGAAGGGGGTGGAGGTGTGTTTTAAGCTGCACACCCCGCCCCTAGGGAAGTTACTGGAAAGGAAAATGAACATCCTAAGGGGGATAGCCGGGGTGAGCCTTCGAAATTGGGAGAAGTTGGAGCTCTCGGTTTTGTCATTCCAGCTGCAGCGGGGAAAGGTGTGACAGTGGGGGACCCCTAGCCCTAACCGAACCTCAGGGGGAAACTCTGAGAGGCTCAGCCAGAGACCTAGCACTCTAGACTCTGGAGGAGAGTGCTCCTTCCCCTCTGAGTGCTCCCCCCACCAGGGAAGCAGTTCTAACACACAGCTACAGCCCTGCCCTGTCTTCCTCCTTCCTTCCTCCCTTCCTTCCTCCCTTCCTCCCTCTCTCCTTTTTTCCATTTTTTTTTTCTTTCTCTTCCTATCATCATCTATCCCAAGTCAGGAGTTTTCAAAACATTTGTAACAGGGTTTGCCTCGAACCAGAGGTCCCAGTCCCACCAAGCGCTTCGGTGCCTGCATTTCTGACCCCTTTCTGATCCCTCTGCCCCCTCCCTCACCCCCCAACACACACAGCTGCACCCTGAAGTCACATCAGATTTAACTACACCCTCAGGCAACTACCTAGGCAGGGAGATGCAACAATGTAGTGCAAAGGATAAAGCCAGTCACCATCACAAAGTTTCTAGTTGCCTTGGCAGGCCTGCTAAGTGCATGGAACTGAAGACTGGAAAGTAAGGACGTTCCCCCAAGTTTAACTGCAATTGTTGTTTCAGTCCCCAGCAGCCGAGAGCCTCCAAAGGCTCTCACTCTGTGGCCCTGAGAGATGCAGCTCTCTCTTTCCTCCTTGCTTCCTTCCTATTGAAGCCTTCATTCCTGGGTGAGAAAACCCAAAGAGAAGCACAAACCTCCCCCCCAGACCAAAGGCTCCGGCAGGGCTGGGCTCGATTCTGAGGCAGGCTGACACCATCCTAGGAAACCTTTCCGGTGGCCTAGCTGGACGTCAGTCTTCACCAGAGATGCAGGCCCGCTTTTATCTCCCCTCCTATGGCCTGGGAGTGGTGGACGTTGCTTGCTGACTTCCCCCCCGACTGGTCCCCGGGAGCGGACATCTGCTGCAAGCTGCACCCTCTGCATGCCTGGACAGATTCTCTGTTCTTCCACACCCCAGAAATGCGCTTCCTCTCTCAATGGTCCTGGCCCTCAGAGAAGCAATGCTTGAGCTCCCTCCCACCCTTCGCTGGCACCTTGGCCTTCTACCCCTTGGGTACTGACCTTTGCCTCCCCTTCAAGAGACTTCACACCCTCTTGACTGGAGGGCACCGTGGAGGTTGAGTCTTATGCCAGGGCTCTGCAACTTCCTGAGAGGAGAGTGAGCTCTGTGTGGCCCCCAGTTCCTCTCTGACGAAGGGGACTCGGAACAAGTCGGAGAGGGACTGGTTCTGGGCACCCCGTGGGCCTTGTGGTTTGACATGGAGGTCTCGGAAGTGGCCAGCAGGCCCAGCTGCCGCCGTGCAGTGAAATCCTAGCAAGGAAGAGAATGCCCAGCATCCTGCAGTATCCCCCACCCCCCAACACGCTTCCTCCAGTGCATGCTACATGCTGGTAATTCCGGAAGGTGCAGGGGGGATTCTCGTGGATCAGACCAAGCTCTGCAGAGCATCTTAGAGGAGGCCTTGGCGCAAATTATAGTGCCAGGAAGAAAGCAAACAGTGGCCTGGGTCTAACGGGACAAGACCCGGGCTTGCTCTGGACACGGGCAACACTGCCGGGTTGCAGGGCAGTGACCTAAAACCGCAGGCCCCAGACAATCTTGCAGCTGGTTCGGACTCCCGGGCGAAGGGGCCCCTTTCCCCAGGGCGGAACCCATAACTCCTTCCTGTCTGCGTGCAACCAGGACAAGCCCCGGTGAGACGCTCCTCCATCTCTGGCCCCACGCGCTTCTGCATCCGTGGGCCAAGGAAGGCCTGCAGAAAGAAGACCTGGGTTTCTGGCGGAGAATGTCCCCAAAGGAGTCCTTAGCAGTTTTGGCTGCAGTCAGGGAGTTCCTTTGAGGGCAATGAAACAGAAGTTCACCATGTGCTTATTAGAGGTTACAACCTGCTAAAAAATGATGGGGCATATTACCCAGAAACATCTAGCTATTTCCGTTGCCAGCCACAAGCATATATGCTGAAAGGTCTGAGGTAGGAAACAATCCTCTCCCTTCTTCCCTCCGATGCTCACTCCGCTCCCGGGAGGAACTGCATCTCTCTTTCTTTTTTGACCCATGACAGGGACAGAAGTTGGGTAGAGTTTACCCAAGCCTCCCCCCACCCCAACCCCAACCCCACCCCATCTTAACTCGATGAAGGAAAGGTGGGGGTGAGGAACCCACAGCCCAGCGCCAGCTCATCAGAGACCTTATTGTTGCAGTTCCTCGGGAGAGAAAAACGACTTGGGGGGGGGGGGAGGTGGGGGCGCGACTCGGAGCAAATGTTAACATGCACCCTGACACGGCCCCCGTGACAGACCTCATTCATCGCTCCGTTCACGCAGCCCGCGGATTAATTACCCAGAGAGGTAGGTGAGCGAGGAGCGCAGTGCCCACAGCCTGCGGCCTCCAGCTGGAGGCCGGGGGGCCGTGGGGGAAAGGGAGGAGCAGGGCGCGGGTCCCGGGCTCCCTCGGGGACGCAGTGGGGGCCCCACTTCGCATGCAACCTCGCCACCCCGCCACCCCTGGGCCAAGAGGTGGGGCTACCTGGGGCATGCATACTGCTTTTTTTTTTTTAACCCTCCCGGCTTCTCCACATTTTAGCCCCCAGACGTCCCAGATCCGCGGACGGCCTAGCCCGAGAGAGGACAGAGCCGCTGCGCCAGGAGCGCGCGTGCACAGGGGACGCGGTGGCGTTGCTACCTGGACCAGCGGCCCGCGCCCCACCTCCCCGCCCTCCCCCCCCCAGCAGGGTCGGGTCCCGGAGGACAGGAGGAGGGGGAGGGGTCCTTCTGCCACCCTACCCCCGGCCCCCCGACACACACACACACACACACACACACACACACACACTCGGGCCGGGCAAGCGCCCAGCTCAGCCCCGCCGCACCCGGCGCGGCCCGGCGCAGCCTCAGCCTTTGCTCCGCTCGCCACTTTGCGAGCAACTTTGGCCGCATCCCCAGCGCCCACCCGGAGCGGGATGCTAATGAGGGAGCGCGGGGCCCCGCGCCGCCCGCCGGCTGGCTCGGCCGCGGCGATTGGCTGGGGCCCGGCGGAAGGATGACGTTATGCAAATGAGGGGGCGGGCCGGCGCGGCGCGGGCCCCGCCTCCTCCCTTTGGGGTTAGTGTGCCCGTGTTTAGCTCTGGGGAGAGTCAAACTGGATTCCATAGGGAAAGCCTGCAAATCACTTCTATTTTAGCAAGGAGAAAACAGAATCTCCTTCCAGCAGGGTCCACCCCTCTCTCTTTCTCTCCCTTTCCTCTCTCTCTCTTTCTCTCTCTGTCTTTCCCTCCCCCCCTTTCCTCTCTCCCTCTCTCCCCTTCCCCCCACCCCACTCTCCCTTTTCTGGTGTCTGTCTCCGGCAACCAGCGTCCTCCTCATCTGTACGCACAGAAAGGAAAAGAAACATCTCTGGTTGGGAGAGAAGGAGGAGAGGGGGAAAAAAAAAAAAGGAGCGAGGAAAAAACTTGCCTGGTTGTGGAAAATGACACTTGAAGTAGCAAAGCCGGCAGCGCGAGTTGAGTCTATTGTTTCTTAAATTGCCATCAAGGCTTTTTTTTTTTTTTGCTTTTTTTTTTTCTTCCTGTTTCTTCAAGTGAAGGGTACCTCTACAAAAGGAAACTCCAGCCCCTCCTGTCCACCGGCCTGTGATCATTACAAAAAAAAAGCAAAAAAAAAAAAAAGCACCCAAACCAAAAATTAGCCAACCAAACAACCCCCAACAGCCAAGCATACATCTCTATTTTTTTTTTCAATTTTGGTCTTTTCGTTGGATTTTCCCTTTTTTTGTCTCTCTCTTTTTTTTTCCGGTTGACGCTCAGTTTTGAGCGAAGGTTTACATTTTTAAAAAAAAAATTTTTTTTTTTGCTTCGCAGTCCGCCTTGATCTTCTAGCGCGAGTTCATCGTCTCCAAAAGAAAAAAAGAGAAAAAAAATCCTCTGGCTGGCGTTTTTCTTTCCTTTTTTTTCTTCCCCCCCCCCAATATTTTCAAGGGGGAGGAGATTTTCCGCAAGAAAAGGTTGTTTTCATGTTTGGGATTCAGGAAAGCATCCAACGGAGTGGAAGCAGCATGAAGGAAGAGCCGCTGGGCAGCGGCATGAACGCGGTGCGGACGTGGATGCAGGGCGCCGGGGTGCTGGACGCCAACACGGCGGCGCAGAGGTGGGTACCGCGCGGGGACCGCGCCGGGGACCGCGCCGGGGACCGCGCCGGGGAGCGGCCGGCGGCGGGGCCGAGGGCGGCGGCGGCAGCGGCGGGGCCGGCGCCGGGGCCGGGCCGCTCCTCTCCGCGCCGCTCGCCGCCCGGCTCAGCGCTCGGCGGCCGCGCTGCCGCGGTGGCCGGTGGCCTGGGAGCCGGAGCTGCCGGCGAGGACTCCACGCCTGGCCGGCACTTCCCCGGCCTCGCCTGCGACTGTTTTCATTTTGTTTTAAGCCAGAAGAGGCGTCTCAGCAGCATGATGTTGGCTGTCTCTGGATTTTTATGGGATTGCTCTTGCTTTTCTGGCCGCCCGAGTTATTTTTTTTTCTTCTTTTCTCTTCTTTCCTCTCTGGCTTTCTCTGATGTTTCTCCTTCTTTCTCCTTTTTTTTGCTTTCTTTTCTTTCTTCTCTCCATTCAGAACTTTTCTTCTCCGCACTCCCCTTCCTTCTTTCCCTTGTCTCTTTCTCCCTTCTTTCCCCATCTCCCCTTTCTCTCTTTCCCCTTTCTTTCTCGTTCTTTTCTCTTTTTCCTCTCCCCTTCCCTCTCTTCTTTCTTCCCTTTGTCCTTTTCTTCATTCTTTCCTTTCTCTCTGCCTTTCACTCTTCCTTCTTCTTCCCCGCTGCGCTGCCTCTCCTCAGAATCTCTCCTAGCTGGTATCCCTTCCCTGTCTCTCTCCGTCTCTTTCTCTCTAGCTCGCGTTCAGTGTTTCTCCCCGCACTTGGAGAGCAGCAACCCCTAACTCACAATTCGCTGTCTAAGTGTCCTCTCCGCAGGCCCTCCGAACCCCTCTCCTGCTCCCAGCTCCCTGGATGATGCTATTTGTGTGGTCTGGAGACAGTGCACTTGGTGGCTGACCGGGGAACTTTCTGGGGTGCCTTTCTGGGGACTGCTGGTCCCAAGTGAGAAATGACCTCCCCTCAAACCCACAGACCACCATCTGGGCTTGGGGCGGTGGGGAGACCTGGCTGCCCTGGGCACTGTGGACTCTTTGGAGCGGGCAGATGGGGAAGAAGGAAGATGAGTAATTACATCATCCTCATCTTCCCGGGGCTGGGGGACAAGTGTCCGCAACGGCCGTTCGCATCTCCGCGATCCCAGTCCTGGGGGTGGCTGGTAGTGAGAGTGAGTTGGGTAACTGGTCTGGAAGTGAAAGTATGTGTAGTCTGCGTGTGCGCGGGGCATGTCTGTGTCTGTGGCTGTGTGTGTTTGTATGTGCGTGCGCGCCCTTGTGGGCAGGTCAGCTCCTCCGTGGCTGCCCCGTGTCCCTGGCACCCCGGCTTCCAGACCCCTCACCCGGCAGCGGCAGCCCTGGGCTGTAGAATTTCCGAAATGAGGGAGGCTTTCCAGGGGCACAGTGAAACTTGGTCAGAACAGGTCTTCAAAAACAGCAGCAACAACAAAACACCCCAGTCCTGTGTCCTAAAGGGACTGCTCTGACAGCTGTCCTACCCTCACATCCTTTTCCTCCTCACGCTGTATTCCAAAGGGAGCCCCCAGCCCCAAGAGTCTTCCCGGAGGTCAGGGATCCCAGCTCCTCCTGCCGGGAGGATGGCAGATGCCGAGTGGCCCAGCGTGTTCCGGGGGCCCTTCCGCCTTCCCCCTGAGCAGCCAGGCGCTGATTCCGGGGGTGGGGGTGTCTGCTCCACACCCTCTGGGTTGCAAGGTTCAGGCTTTGTCCTGCTAATGCGGGTTCACCTCGGCCAGCCACTTGACCTCCTTCCCCACACCCAAGCCCCAGGCCCTCGCCGGGTTTGATTTGTGCAAAACCCAAACAAAACTTTCACACCTCTGGGACAAGTTGGGGACGGGACTGTACCCCGGCTGTCCGTGGAGACACCCCAGGTCTTTCAGCAGGGCTGGGTATGGAGGGGGACCGCTGGATGTCTGGAGGACCTGAGAATGTGGATGTCTGCAAATTTACACGGTGTCAAGGGGTGACCAGGGGGCTGCGGAGGGCTGTGCGGGGGTGGGGGGACCCAGCCGTCTAACTCTGCATCTTTGGCTACAGCGGGGTGGGTCTGGCCCGGGCCCACTTTGAGAAGCAGCCGCCTTCCAATCTGCGGAAATCCAACTTCTTCCACTTCGTCCTGGCCCTCTACGACAGACAGGGCCAGCCCGTGGAGATCGAGAGGACAGCCTTTGTGGGGTTCGTGGAGAAGGAAAAAGTAAGTGGGTGCAGCCGCCTCGCTGTCCCTTGTCCTCCTCACCCCCACCTCCGGGCACTCGGTGAGCCCCACGCAGCACTCTGTCCTGGTGCAAAGCATCCCACACATTCGCGCGCGGGTCCCCTCCCCAAGCCACTTCCCGCCCTGGGCGAACCGGGGCTCCTCGCCCACTTTCCTGCTCCCAGAATGTTCCCATAGAGCCCCCAGGGCTAGAGAGTGGCAGGGGAGAGCCGGGAACTGCAGCCCAGGGAGCAGGGAGTTGGGGGAAGCCGGCCTGGCCCGCGCGACCTCGCGCCGTTCCGGCCCGCGCTCCCCAGGCCTGGGACGCGTGATCGCTGCGTGCGCCCCACCGAGTTTTCTGCTGGCGAAGAGGGAGCCGTCAGGGGCAGGGGGGTGGGCCGCAGAGGGATCGCGATGGTCCGCTAGTTCCGCTGCCCCCGACCGACCGCGGGGTCCTGGCTGGGGATGGGAGGGGGAAAAGTTGTCTCCAAGGGGGTCCCCTGGCTCACGCCCACCTCTCTCCCGCGGTTCTCGTGTCTCTGCGCCCCGCTGCCACCCAGGAAGCCAACAGTGAAAAGACCAACAACGGGATCCACTACCGGCTCCAGCTGCTCTACAGCAATGGTGAGTTTCCGTCGGGTGGCGCCGGCCCGGTGCCCCGGGGGGTGCGGGTGCGGGTGCGGGCTGGGACTCCCCGGGCAGACCGGGCGCATGGCCACCTACCGGGACCTGGGCTTGCCCCCCGGCTTCGGCTCCAGCTTCGCCTGGGGAGGTTCCTCCGGGGAGTAGCCCGAGGGCGGCCGGGTGACCCCCATCAAGCCCCGCATACCTGGAGCCAGGTGTGGCCCCGCAGCCTTGGGCATCCCCTCGCCCCCACCCCCAGCCCGCACCCTTCCGAGGGTCTGGCGGGGACTAGGAAGTCCAGTCGCTGGACCCTCGGGCCGGAGCGATCTCAGACTGGAGGGTGCCCGCACCGCGCGCCCGGGAGGTCTGGAGGACCAGAGGCCAGGTGGGGGGCCCGCCCCTGCCCAGGTGTCTGCTGATGGGGGCACCCCGCAGAGAGCTTGACCTCGGCTAGCCGCCCTTCTCTGGGTGCCGGGAGCCTGGGGGCTCCTGGGTCCAGCCTCTCATCCTGCCGCGGAGGCCCCCCACGCATCTCCGCTCCGAGGCTCCGGCACGGCTCTTCTAGGCGGAGCCCCCCCAAGCTGGTGCACCCCCCCGTCGAGTCCCGGCACTGACGCCCCCGTCTCCTCGCTCCCCTCCGCAGGCATCAGGACAGAGCAGGATTTTTACGTGCGCCTTATTGACTCCATGACAAAACAAGTAAGTTTCGCGCTTTTCCGCGCGCGCGGGGGCGGGGGGTGTGACTCTGGGGCAGCGACACCGGGAGCGGGAGGGTTTTGCAGGGTGGTGGTGGGTGTCTGGAAGCAGGTCCCCACCCCCCCAGGCTCCAGCATCAGGGCTGGGACTCGAACTGCACAGCCCCCTGGGCTGATGGAGAGCGCTCCTGGGCGTCCGCGTGGGGACCTGGGCTCGACGGCTGCATCCCAGGGATGCTCGGCCGGGTAGCAGTGAGTCGGGGAGCATCACTGGGGTTTGAACTTCCCCTGACCCTGCCGGGTAGCCCCAGGGGGACCCACTAGGTGCTCAGAGGGAGCTGGTGCCGCGCAGGCTGAAGCCCTGAAACCCAAACCGTCGGGCGTCCCCCCCACCCACCTCACCCCACCCTCCCACCTCCACGGGGAGGCGAGAGCCCGAGTTGCTGAGCTTCCGAGCAAGGCTGAGCGGGAGCGCGTGGACCGGCCGGTGCGCCCCTTAGATTGTTCCCGGTCCAAGGAGGGGCGTTGGCGGTCGCGATGCAGTTAGAAGAGGGAGCGACAATGGTTGGAGGAGATTTTGAAAAAAAAAAAAAAAAAGGCAACAACAAAAACACACAAACCCCTCCAGCTTTTGCCTGCACCGTTGGCTAAAAGCCCGGCAGCATGAGTGAGCGAGTGGTCTTAAAGGTACACAGACGGCGCTTTCCGCTCCCGCCACGCGGGTGTCCAGCAGAATGCAGGAAGGCTTGAGTTATGGTTGAAAAGAGGCAGAAACCGGCTGTGTGTGTGTGTGTGTGTGTGTGTGTGTGTGTGTGAGAGAGAGAGAGAGAGAGAGAGAGAGAGGGGCCTGGCGTTCTCAGGAGCTTGCTTTCTCTGGCTTCCCTCCTCCTGCAGCTTTTATTTTATTTATTTATTTTTATTTTAAGAAAAAGTTTAGTTTTGGAATTATGTAGTGGCGGCTTAGGCAGTTGGAGGGTTTAGTAATGGTGGGGTGGGGGAAGACAGGGCTTTAGTGGGTGGACAAGAGAAATTAGAACAAAGGGAAAGGTTTTCCGTGGTGTTCTAACCACCAGTTCAGGAGAGGCAGAAAATTTACTTGCTTGCTGGTGATTTTCAAATGTCCCCTCTGGGACCAAGGGGCTTGCCTTTCTCAGACAGTGGCTTGAAAGAGTTCAAATTATAATTTTTAGCATATCTAAAAAATGGTTTTTATATAAGATAAACATTGCTTTCAGGTGGCTTGAATATCGAATACACTTTAATAAGCTGTTGGGAGTTTTAAAAATCTGCCACTTAGAATCTGTGTAACAGCAGCTTAATTTTGATTATTACTCTTATATTTCATTGTGAACCAAGTAGGGTATGATCATGAAATTATTTTATTTAATTATAAATAATTTTTGAAATTATTTGTCTAAAATACTTGACTTTCTTAAAGATTTATTTTTGTTGATTTTTTAGAGTTGATCCACATTTGTGCTTTTAGTCTTGACTTTTCTAACTAGTTTTGATTATTACATAGGTTAATTCCCTTTCATTTTGACACATTGCATTTTGTTAATTTTTTCCCCTACCAAGCACAAAAACCCTGATTTCAGTAACTTTATTTTCTTGGATAATAGCAAAACAAAAAATGCCTTAAGTGAAATTTTGTTTTAAAAAATTGTCTTTGATACCCTAGATTTCCTTTTGCTGCCATTCTCATCAGAGGATAAAAAATGATGGGAGGGGTTGACATATGGACTCTAATATATATTCCATGTGAATTTGTTAGAATTTACTTTTTCAAGTGAATTTAAACATCCCCAGAAGGCTGTAGATAGAGGCTGTCTACTTATGCCACATGGGCCACTTAAATATTAGACGATGGACAGCATTATGAAATGAACAGCTCTAAGGACGGCAAAATTAAGAGCTGTTGGAAATGATTAATTTCCCTTAGAACTTTTATTTTAGCCCTTTCAACAAAAAGTGCCACTGAGAACTACTCTTCCCATTAGGCAAGGAGCTGATTTCATATATTCTGTTATGGTGGGAGAAGAATCTTGATTTTGTGTGTTTGTAAAGCAAACACATCAAATACCATTTTAGCAACCAGGTCACAGAGCTTAAAGAAAACTACCGCTTAAGGCATCTCTGGGCTGCTTTGGCCAGATATTCTATCAGTTGTAGGGTCACTGAAAAGAGAAATGGCTTATTTTTAATAATAGCAGGTATGAAAAAGTCATTTGCCATAATCTGACATCTCACTGAAAGTTAAAACTATAGACGCATGTCCTTATATATGTTGCCGGGGAGTGACCTGGTTCAAAGTTCAAGAATGATCTGAGCTTCATGTAAAGATGCCATGAAAACCGGATTTCTTGAGCCATACCTGTTTGCTTTTATAATAATTGTCTGATGCCTGTGTCGCTTTCACTTTGAAAGGCGGTCCCCGCTCACTGCTGTTTATTTGTTGGTTGATGAAGAGTTGAGAAAGTGGATTAGCCTCATGCGTACACAGTTATTAAAATAAAAAAAACTCAATTCTTCAAAAATCAGATCACTCTGAAGCAGTATAACTTTTTCTTAGCTGTGAGATAATTATTTATATTTTAGCCTTAAAGTTTAAAATAGTCTGTTCTCATTTAGGTTGGAATCGTGATAATTAAATATCAAGTCCAATTAAAAATGTCTTAAATTTCTGATTTTCGTTAAGTATACAGTCACCACCCCACCACCCTCCACCCCTCCAACTGAAAGGAAGACTTGGCCAAAAACTGACTGATTAGGTGGTTCTTCCCCCACCCCTGTGAACTACTTTCTCCTAGTCTTGGGATTTTGAGATTTCGCGTGCAGAATGGAATCACTTCAGCTGTGTGAAGAGTGCTAATAACATCATAAATCCAAAAGGCACGCTCAGCCTGCAAGCTGCTCAGGCCTCCTAATGTAACAGCGTTTACATCTGAGCTGTGATGTCATGTGTCTGATTCACACGTTGGGGTTAAAACTTCCAGGGACTCTTTGGGAAGGAAGCCCCCAGACTGACTGGGCACTGTTTTCATAAACTCTTTCTGATCTTCGGTGGAATTCGTGACACTGAGATCAAACAGAAATGTGCTCAATCAACCAAGATGTCTTGGTATGACACAGTATTTCACACCTTTCCCTAGTGTCTCAGGACACTATTTTAGGCAATGACTCTAGCAGGCAAGAGGAAGTGTGGCTAGTAGTGAAGGTTTAGGGGTTCCAAGCAAGCTTCCTTATCCCTCTTGCTTCTTGGAGAAAACAGAAAGGATGCCATGATTTAAAAAATAAATAAAATTGACCCCCAACTAGAAAAGAAGAGACTTGCTTTTGGGAAGGGATGTTGAAAACCAAGTTTAGCTGGACTAAAAATAGGTTGTTTCGTGTCTTGGCTGTTTTTGGTATCCTATTAGTGAGCCGGCAAAAGGGCCTGTCGAATCCCAAGTCTGTTCAGAGTCTGTATCTACTGCAGGAGCTGAAAAAACAAAACCAAGTTGGTGCAGGGGGCAGTCTGAGGTTTCACGTGCCTCGTTGCAGAATTTCAGTGTTTCAGATATGAAAGCATCTTATGATTGATTCAGTGAGTTATTTTAAACTAGTTTTAAATAGTTAAAAAAAAAAGCTTTGAATTTACTTCCCCTACTACCAACTAACTTTAATTTTTTTTTTTTTTTGTAATTCTGAGAATCCCAATTCTGTAATGTTGGCAAAAGAGCAAAATGTCCTACCCCACCAAAGAAAGAAAGCAATTTATGGTGTTTTTTTTTTTTTGAGAGGGGGAAATGGCAGCCACAGAATTCTTTTATATAGGCATTTGAAGGTAGATATGGTGAAGAATCTCCGAAAGGTCCCCAGCATGGTAGTGAGATAGGGCGTGTAGGTCCAGGGTCCAAGAATCAGAAAGGTTCTTGCATTTCTCTCTCAACTATTCTTCTTTGTAAATTTCTTTGGATCTTCCGGGTACTGTGTGATATTGACAAGGCCAGAGCTTTTCCCTGTATTGATCGTGCCATTATACACTACCACAGCCATGTAGATTTGATTAACAACCCTTCAGTTTGTGGCTCTTCATTGGTAGCGAAACACATTTTTTGAGTATAGCTAGGCCAGCGGAGAGAGGTTCTTTCATAGATTTGGGGGGAAACAAACAAACAAAAAACAAGGGCAGGCAACTTTCGGGTCAGGAGCCAGATTTCCATGCACAGCTCTCTCTCTCTCTCTCTCTCTCTCTCTCTCTCTCTCTCTCTCTCTCTCTCTCTCTCTCTCTCTCCTGCGGGTCCCATGTTAAAAGATGCAGGTGATTTAAATTTCCTTGCACATAGAGGAATGAAGAAGTTTGGAATTTTTATGCATGATCAGGACCTGTGTTTGGGAAAATGTAAACTCATCACAGTGGAAAATGTGTTGTTTGGAGTCTGGGGGTGAAAACAAAGCTGATGGTTTTGGAGAGATTGCCGGAGCCAGATGGCCTAGTACTTCCCCAGTCTGGCGGTCCAACTGCTCCCTCCTGGATAATATACAGCCATTTGTTCGGGGATATTTACGCTAGAGCTGTTTCGATGTGAATATTTGAACAGCATTAAAAAAAAAAGAACATATTAGGAGTGATGCATTTATTGAAATGTCTGACTCCACTGGTCGTGGCCCTGCTCTTAAGTCTTTGCTGGAATTGCTTGAGTAGGCAGTCATCTTTGGACGTTAGTGAATTGTTTACCTAGTTGTTGAGTAAGAATGACTTGGTGTGAGTGAGTAATTAAAATCTGTAAGTACTTGGAATCGAGATCATGGAAATCACGGTTGCCCCTCCTTCAAAGTTCTGTGGGGAGAATGAAATGAACGAATACATGGAAAGTGCTCGGAATAGTGACGGACACATATTAAGTGCTTAATAAACGAGCTGACTTTTATTATTACTATTATTATTATTATTGTCCCATTGGGTTACTAAGCCAGTAGTATTGCTAATATAGACATAAATGCAGTTATGATCAGAGTGGA